CTAGGAGGATCTTACGTGTGAAAGATAGAGGAAGTCAGTAAAGAATTTTGAAGAGGAATGATGTAATCAGATTGCATATTTCCATGGTGATAGAAATGACTTTAATAATCATCTAATTGAAAAGTCTAAATTTGTGTTTTGCCTTTTGAATCCTTGTTTCTTAGGCCGGGGCTTTACAAACTCAGCACTATTTATATTTGAGCTGGATGCTTCTTTGTCCTGGGGGCTGTCCTGTGCTATGTAGACATCAGTAACATCCCTGTCCCTATTCGTGACAGCCAAACCTGTCTCCAAACATTGCCTAATGTCCCTTGGGGGACAAAATTGCCCCCAGTCGAGAACCATTGCTTTAGGCTAAAGGCTGTTCATTGTTTCCCATTGTCATTTCTGTTGGATAAAGTCCTCTTTCGTGTTAGGACTGATTTATTGACAATTTATACCAACTACTAGAATCCTAATGTTGTATATGTCCTTCAATTATAAGGAGAACCTGATTTGGCTTCTGGCTCAGATGTGAATGGGAGTACAGAGTCATTTGAAATGGTCATTGAGGAAGCGACTATAGATTCAGCAACTAAGCAAAACTCTGGTATGGTTTTAAAAATTATTTGCAATTTTAGACTAATTTCTGAGGATTCACTCTTTTGTTAAGCCATTTGGATGTCATTTGTCTGCTTTTACTATCCATAATGGACCTTTTAATAATATTTTCTAGGAAACATTTTTAAGTATTTAGAATAATTAAAAGTATTATACAAATAGGACCTAAGAAAAATGACTTGTTTCATTTTTCCTGTTACATATTTTGGTTAATTCTTTCTTGTAGACATCTTGCAATTTGGATAAAAGATTACTTTGAGCAACTGATGAAAACTAGTACTTTCAGAAGCATGTACATACTCAAAAAACATTCTTTCCTATTTCAGAGATTCACTGACACCCCCCCACACACCCTCCCCCCCAAGTCCTCTCCCCTGTTAAGCCCATTGGTGGATGTCACTGGGGGAGGAATCTATGAAAATTTCTGGACCTCAGTTAAGAAACCCTGGTCAGCCATTGTATATATAAGTATATACACATGTGATTAATAAGTTTATATATTCTTTTGTAGTTGCTGCAACAGAAGCAGATTGGGTTCCTCTCGAGCTGTGCTTTGGAATTCCACTGTTTAGTTCTGAATTAAACCGGAAAGTTTGTAGAAAGATTGCTACACATGGTCTTTGCAGGAAAGAGAGGTGAGGGCTCATCTTCATTGTCATCTTTTCATCTCTGAGACTTGTAAGCTCTCAGTAATAGTTGCTGTATCTTACTTTCATTCCATACGTGAACATAGTAATTGCCTGTTTATTGAATAAAGGTTGCTAGTTTAAGGGTTCTGCTGTTTTCAAAATTAAACTTCAGTACCTCAGAAATCAGGCACATGCAAACATTTTGGGCACGTATTTTGGTTATAGTTATATTACCTGGGTTTGATGAGGGTGTGGTAAATGGGAATGCTTATATGAGAGTTTGAACTTAGTTTTTTTGATGTAGAGAATTTCTCTTGACCTCTTTTAACATACACACACCCGAGTTATGTTATGTTAATAGTGATTATGTCTTGTGGGGGAATTATGGCTGACTTTCTGAATTTTCCTCGATTTCCACATTTTCTAAAATGAGCATGTTTTACTTATCAGAGATGATGTAGGTTTTATCTCATATGCCAACTCTGATCCATTGTTAGTGGCTGCCGAGAGGCAGTATTGTAAAGGTTCTGAGACTATCTGGGTTAGAAAAGAATATCATTGAATCTGATTGTCATAGTGGGTGGCTTGGAGAGGTGATACCCACAGATCTCCCTGACTTATTTATTTAGGAAAAAAAAGTTGGATAATAAATAATTAATTTGATTGGCTTAATGTAGCTTATATCAGAAGATTAAAAGTACTCAATTGACAAGTAATATTAACAACTATCCTCTAAAGATAAAATAACACATGAATAAAAAAGTAGAAATACTGTACAGCTTAAAGATTGCCACCATAATTATTAACAATTTACATATTTGGAAAATATTTAATTTGGTGGGTTGATATATGTTAAATCTGTCAGACTTTTTATTGGAATGTATTTTAAAATTAATTTGAGTATTTGAAGTTTGTATCCTAATGGCCATCCCTCAAAGTGCATAAATTTTCATTGAAAANAACATAGCAAGAAGTGGATGCTTAAAATTTTGAAGTTCTAGGGTCTGACCATTCTGCTTTTAAAGAGTATTGGCAAAAGGTAGTTTTCTGTCATGTGCCTTTCCCCACAAAGAACTAAGAGCTAAGACTCACTGAGGTACCTGTGAAGGAGCACTGATCTGTCCTGGAGATGAAGAGAATACGTAGGGACCTGTCTAGGTGGAAAACTCGGTTTCCTGTATATTTAGACTTTTCGTTTCCTTTTATTGTTTATTTATTTAGAGGTTGGGGGAGAAGACAAATCATAGGGAAGGATTTATGCTTAGGAAGTTTATTTGTTGCCCCCAGCGTCACATACTGGTTTTCTTTCAGGGGCTTTTTAAGGTAATTTAGAAATGGACGCTAATGAACGTTTGTATAATCCTTCACCGTTTGCAGAGCACTTGCACATATTTCCTGTTTCAGCATTTTTTTTTGCTGTTAAATTTTATTTTTGCTGTTAGGGTTTGAGTGGATTGCAAAGTTTAAGCTAAATTAAGCTGGTTAGAATCAAGGGGGAAAAGCACTACGGTATTTGATGAAAGATGCTCAGAAAATTTCTGTAAAAGAAAATTCATTCTTCCTTTTGTCTAATATATAATAGAAGATACCTTCCCTCTGTTGAATATTAAGAAAGTATATATATTCAAAAGAAAAATACTATCTGATTAAAACTTAACATATATTTATATAGCACTTATGTTTCCTGTTCTATGCAAAACTGCTGTTCTGTGATCTGTTGTTCTGGTGTTTAGAGCCATATTGCTTGGATTTTGAGAGAGCAAGTTCAAGTAATTTAACTTGTGTTAATTCATATAAGAATTGAATGTTCTTTCAAAATGTTGGTCACCATTGCCCTGCCCCAAAAGTAGGGAAAAGAAAGAAGATTTTCCTAAATATCTGTTTCCCTTTCATATGGTTAGACGGCAGAACCCACCAGTTTGTAATTAAGTGTTCTCTTTTGGCTGTTGTGGGTAAATATGTACAATAGTCACAAATATGTAAATATGTACAAAGATGTAAATATTTAGAAAAGAGTTTCCTCATGTAAAAAAATAGCCACTTTTCAGAAATAAGAATTTTCCTGCAACTGAACTTTGCTATTTTATCCTCTGATACTTTATAAATTCTGTGGAAAAAAATAATTGTTCACCTGAAGAAGATACAGGGTATAGTGACAGCAGGATCAAAAAATTTGTAAAACCTCAAGAACTGATTGATCTCTTGCCTTGGGAGATTATTTTGTAAATTATAAAAAACAGAAATCTTCGTGGGTATAGAGCATCTTTCCTTTTTTTAATAAGTTCATACATTTTTGAGAACTTGAGCTAATATTTAAGTAATTTATTAGGAATATAATTTCCAGTGTATTGTTAGCGTCAGTGTTAGTAAGAGAAAATTTACTTTTCTTAAATTAAAAATATATATATAATGTGTATTTAGTACATTTCCTGGTAGAAAAGAACCACAAAGAGAAGCCGAGAGACTCTGCCTCTGACGGGCTGTGTTGCTTAGCAGGTAATTTGTTCTGATACAGCAGGTGCCTCCTGAAGGCTAAATGTGTGTTACCTGTGTACTGCTTCCCTTTACACTGACAGGTCTCTTTTCATCGGAATCAGTCTTGATAGATGAAAGTATAAAGGTGGTTCTAAGAATTGTTTCATAAAAGAAAAGCATATTTCAAGTTTTTCATGTTGTGTTATTTCATAAAACTCTTCACTTATAATTTGATGTCAACTCTTTGTTCTTAGAGTTTGCTCGTGTCAATATGGGTGTTCATAAAGCACTACAAGTATTAAGGAGCAAAGTGGACTTGCAGCATTTTTGTGGATATATCACCATGTTGAATGCCTCCAGCCAATTTGCACACAGAAAACTCAGTGATGCGTCTGATGAGAGAGGTTAGCCAATAGTTGGGTTCTTTGAACGAAGATGATTGGTATTGAGTTGATCACAATCTTAATATTTAAAAAGCAGGGAGACCTTTGTAGGGGCGTTGAATTATTTAATACTCAATGTTTTTTTTTCACTGAAGAATGAGAAAATATTCTGTGACATCATTTGGACAAATATCAGTTGTTCAATGGAGAAAATGCTAAGTGCATAACTAAAGAAGTGATGACCTGGGGTTGGAATACATAATGGTTATTAGGTTTTAGCCCTTCGTTATAGCTATGTTTATAGGCTTTAGATTAAGTTCCTTCATGGGGTGATGGTTTCACAATTTTAGTTTCTTTGTAAAAATGTTTCCAAAATAGAATTAACAGTTTTTCCCTTTCAATC